CCAAGTTGCATGGAATGAACTTCAATATGGCTGCAAATCACATACCCTCTTCTTGTATCTCCCAGCAAACTCCACTTGCCTCCACCCCCTGTGCAGTGATGCTTCTATTACTTCCTATATAGAAACACTGCCCATCTCACACCCTGAATGTCCTCAGATGTTACACCTGAATTCAGTGATTATTTTCATTTATAGTGCTCTGCTTAATGGATCTTAAACCACACGTGTTTTAACTGGAAACTCCCCAGGGTCCTCGCTCAGAACTAATTATGTGCCGTTTGTGCAATTCTTCAAATATGTAAAATGCTCTGTGAGGGCTCGGAATTACTCAGCTCTGCTCAGCTTTGGTCTTAATGCTGGGTAGGGGTGTCGGGCTGAAGCGTGAGCTCAGGAATCGGGATGTATCCACCCTCATTCTAGCTCTGCAGTGACAGTGTGATTTTAGGCACGTTAACTACACTGGCCTTCAGCCTGGATTTCCTGTAGGGAAGGAGAATGATTTCATTTTTAATTGGACTAAAAATGCATGTTGAAGGGCTGACTTCAGAAATGGTTGGAAATCGCAAGTGAAATTTATTATCATAACCATTATTATTAGTACGTCATTGAGAGTGCATTTAGCTCAGATCATGTTTTCCCCCGTAATGGGATGGGGGGGAGATAAGAGGATTTCTAAAATAGCTCTGAAAAAGTCTTTTTTCTCATCACTTTCAGCATTTTCCATCTGCTGTGAGCACATTCCCGTTTTATTTCCTAAATATCTTCCTTCTGTTTCTATTTTAAAGTTCCATTTGCCAAGTTTTCACTTCCTAATTACCACTGCCGGGAGTGTTGCTGGGGGGTGTTGCAAGCAAGCATTTACCTTGTAGATTTTGTACTCAACTGATTGGGAGGTGGTGGAAGTCCCTGCACCACTTCTGTTGAGTGCTTGGCTGTTAGATTCCTCTTGTAGCCCTTAAGTTGCTTTCAGCCCTGGTTATTACTTGTACCTTCTTCCTTCCCTCTGTTGTAGTAACTGAGAGAAGAGGTTTAGCACAGCTGTATTCATGGAGTGGCATACATTTAAGGCTGGGATTGCATTTTAGGACAGTTCTGGTTGTTCCAAGTTGGCAGGCTGGGGATGCTTCTGCTTGCCTGCTCCATTCAGTCCATCATGTTTCCATCTTTACATTCTACAGTAAATGGAAGACTCACTGTTCGGGGAAAAAACACTGCCAGGAATACCAAATGTATCCTGCAGTCTGTACTGAAAGCAGCTTCCTCTGTTCTGCCTTTATGGCTGGGAATAGGGCTAAATTCACTCTTGAAGCAGTTGTTTCATTGATTCCTTGTTCTGGAGAGCTTTGACATTTACCCCTCTTCTTCCCCTCTCAGCTACCTCCTCTTAAGATCTTATGGGCGTGTCATGATAGGCAGTTCCTGAGGACATCATGTTTGTGCTGGACCTCCTCCACCCGTAAGGAAGAGAGCATAAGGAATAGTGATTTCTGGTACAGGTTGTGGATACAGGCTGGAACATTGGGGGGCTCTGTTGCAGGCTAACTTCCGTTGAGCTCATTCAGTATTCCTCAGTCTCATTCACAGCTCTGCTAATTATGTTATCAAAATGCCATGTGAGTTGTAATGTTTTAAAGGCAGGCAAGTGCTTTTCAACAGGACAGTTTTCTGTCTGAAATTTTGGCTTTTCAGAAAGGATGTTTTTCACGGAAATGTCAGTTTTGCTAAGTTTCCCATTGGCTCTCATGTTGTTCCTTAAAAAAAAATGAATTAAAAATTCACAATTCCCTTTATACAAGGTAATTGTGGCTTTATTAAGCCATCTGAGTGGCAACAGTTACTTCCTGGGTCATGCTCCTGTGACATACATACTTAAGTAGGTGAGTTCTGTGTTTTCAAGCCCAGAGCTGGCAGAATTTTTGTCGGCAGGTAAAATTAAAGGACATCAGAGTTTTCTCAAGAAGTTGTATTTATCCTCACAGCTCCCTTTGAGTTGGAAGAGCAGCACTTCCCAGTATTTTATATAGAGGGAAGGGAGGTATAAGAAAACTAAATGATCCATCCAAGCTTATAACAGAGGCTTGGCTTGGTTTGTTGCCCAGAGCAGGCCGATAAACCCAGGCTTGCACACTGACCATTCACCAGCCTCTCTCCGGTTCATCTCAGCTTGAGTAGGAATTTCTTACTCTTTTTCAAAGTCTCCATCCCCAGCACTTACAATAATTTTTGTGCCTGTATAGCTTGGGGGCAGATTTAAAGATATGAATCACTTATCTGAAGAACAGTAGGCTCAAACCACCCATATGTAGGCTGGTTTCATTTGAATTTCTTGACTTTTCCTAAGTGAGAAGCTGAATTCGGTTTCTTCCCTCTTTCAACCTTCCTGGCTCTACTGATATCCAAAAATGCAAAATGACATCTTGTCTCAGCCCACCAGAGCAGATGCATTGCAGGGGATTAGACTGGAAATTTTCCTAAAATGCAGCGTTTTGAGACATTTTTGGAAGATGTAGTTGGGGAGCAGAGTATGGATGTTCACTTGGTGCTAACCCAGTAAGACAGGGGATGTGCAGCAAGCAGCCAAGACAGCATTGCCAAAACCCAGAGGGGCGCCTATTAATGGACAGTGTCCTGAAGGAGAAGCCAAACAGTGAGCCAAGAGGGCAGGCATTGGGGAGCCTCATGTGATGTCCACACTGGCAAAGAGCATCTCATAGCTGTGTTCAGACATGAGAAGAACAGCAAAGCTCCCTGGCTGAGGGCAATAGACACAGCTGAGGGATTGGCTGAAGAGAGAAGACAGTTTTGGGGTGCAGTGTCTGGAAGAGGTTGGAATAGCTGAACCATGTAAATAGATGTGGATATTTAAGGCTATTGCATCCTTACTGCTACACTGGATGTGAGGACCACTGATGATGGGGAAGAGGAGCAGCAGCTTCAGCTTCCATGAAGAACGGAGCTGTACAGGGGTGCTGCATAGTGAAAGCCTGGCCAGGTGTGGTAGGCAGCTGTTCCGTGTTGCTTTTCACCCTTGTTGGTGTAAACTGACATGCTAGATTTGGATCAGAGTAGATGAAAAGCGAATGCTGCAGAGTGAAGATATCTGTAGTGTAAAAGCTGTGTAGGAGGACTTCCCAGGCTTCTGACAGATGGAAAAAGGGTGATGAATCCTGGGGAAAATCCAGCTGTCCTGTTATGTCCCCCCACAGCATCCTATGCCCTTCAGTTAACCTTTAATTAGTTGAGGCTTTGACTTGGGTGGATAGGTGGGTTGGGGGTTTCCAGACATGTTGGCAAGAAAACACATGAGAAATTGAGAGGGTGGTAGGGAGGCAAGTTTGTTAAACCCCATCATTCCGCCTGCAAAGGAGAACATTTATAAAGTGCTGGTTGGTTACTTGCTTATTTTTAATTTATTATTTTATTTTTGCCAGGCCCCAGTGTTTTTTTATTTTTTTCACGTGGGAGGCTGAGTCTGATGAGGAAAATTATTGAATCCATTGCTGAAGGCTTAATTCTCTCTCTCATGTACATTACAAGTCAGTCTGAAATGAAGCCATGTAGGTGTCTGGCAGGAATTATTTGGTCAGGTGTAATTACTGCAGAATAAATGAGTGTTCCTCTGAAAGAAAGAGGAGGTGATGGGAAAGGGGCACATAAGCTTTGAGGCACATTATTTGGAGATGTGAATGTCTGTGGAGAAACATGAAGGAGACAATTAGAAAAATAGCAAGGAAAATTGTCTCCTTGCAGGGAACATTTTTCATCAGACTGGTTATGCCAGGCGTGAATATGGCCCATCAAGTCAGTAAAGCCTTACAGGCAAGAATAAAGATATCATAAAAGCACGATGAATTAATTCCTTCTGAGAAGAAAAAAACCCCACCAATTGCATCTTGAAGTTCCTTTGATCCAAACCCATGAACTCAGCTAGAACTTCAAGGAAATTCTTAATAGTGTAATGTGAGCAGCAGCTGGCCACGAGGCATCGGGGTAAATCCATCACCATTCACTGTTAAGTAACGCTTCAAGTCTCAGCAGTGCTGTTTCATTCCACCATACAACTAAGAGGTCCCTCTTGGCTTTGCTTTTAATTAATGGAGTCGCAGCAGTGGCGAACGTGGCACTACAGCTCTTGCTTTCTGCCTAATTGTTCTCCAGGCATATTTGCAGCACTCCTCTTGAAATCCCAGGCTTGTTTCAGGGGTCAAGCTGCACAAATGAAGTCCCTGCTATTAAAAGCAGTTTGTTTCCTATTCCTTGGCAATCTCTTTGTAACACTGAGCCCCACTGGAGCATGGACTTTTGTAAGCAAATTTTTTTAAAGCCAAAAAATGGTGACATTTACCAGCTACCAAACTGCTTTGAAACTCTAGCTGTGCTTAGGAAATCAAGGTTTTCCATGTCAGCATCATATTATTTTCAGCAGGAAGAGTTTGACATGCCCAGTTTGATACATGCCAGTATGCTTGCATGATTGTTTTCATCCCTCAGTCCTGGATCTAGAATAACAAACTCTTTCACTCCTTCCTGCATGGTGGTCTTGGAGCAGTGAAGCACATTCTTTTTCCATGCAGCTTGCCCTAACATTAAAAGGCACCTTGCTCCCAAAGGTTTGCGAGCAGGAGGATGTATTTTATACCACAGTGTTCTGAGTCTCCATCTTAAACTGCAGGAAAGACATCACAAATTAAATCAACTTCTGCTTACTCACATTTGTTTCATTTATATCAAAGTAGCGCCACTGAAGCACAGAGCATTTTTATTCTCTCCACATTGTTCAGGCTGAAGATTAACTGGCTTTGCACATAATGAAACACATACTTCATCTCTTTAAAATGATTGGACCTCTTTTTGTATTTTTAAAGCAGAGTGACTTACACTTAAAATGTATTAATCTGTTACTAATGGAAGAGGGAATACTTTCTCTTATCTCCTTGTTTACCTTTGGATTTATTTGTAGGAGGTCTGTAACTAATGAAATGCCTGTTGTTCCCCAACAGAATTAGGACAGCCCCCGGTGTGAAGATCCTGGACATCAGAGTCAGTGATGCAGACCAGTGGGGGGTTCAAGAAGAAACAGACAGCGCGAGGACCACTGCCACGGTGACATGTGTGCACAACGACCCGAGTGCAGAGAGCAGGTAAGCCACCATGTGCTGCTGTGCCTTAACCCTTGCTGAAATGCTGTCAGAGACAGAGAATAGCTTCTTTAATGAGTTGTATTGCTCTTTTAATAGCAGTAATTTTTCCTCCTCAGCTTCCTTGGAAGAGCTGTAGGTGATCTGATGAAAGATTTTTTTTCCTTTTGTTTCACTTCTGAGCTTTGCAAGTAGATTATCTAATTAAACTGGAGGCAGCCAACTAATCATAGCTCACATTTGCTTTTCATGCACCTTCAGGGCAGCAGGAGGATCCCTGTTGCCAAAGAGCCAACAGAAAGGCATGGATTAAAATAGAGAAATATGAAGAATAATTGAAAGCAATATAGGACAATGCTCTCTTCTTTATTTGAAAAGCCATGAAAGTAACTGCTGTGAAGCACCTATGAGTCTATGAACTGTTTCAGGAATGCTGTGTCTGTTTGCTATGGTTATGCTTTCACAAGCTGTATCAAACTTAATGAGAAATTTACATTGTTAGTTAGTCAGAATGATGTATTTACAATACAAGCCATTTCTCTCTGTTACCGTGCACTTACTCTACACTTAAAGTACACTGTGCATAAATTTAACTTGAAACTGTATCATAATTGGGAAATCTCTATGTCAGAATTTTCATGTGGGGAGTGTTTTGCATCCATCTTTTTTCCTGAAAGCTCCTGTAAAGGAGAAAAATGGTTGTTAGTAATTGTCTAGACCCAGGAAGATTGCTGCCAGAGGTTTGGAGTGCAGAGAGAGTTTCTACTCTGTTTAGTTTCTGATGCTGTATTTGGGGAACAAATGAATCCCATCTAACTCTGGGTACCTGCAAAACAAGTGTTGAGGTGAAAGCTATTTAGTGCGAGTTTGCTTTTTAGCAGAAGGGATAAATAGGCACTGCAGAGGTGAGAGTCCCCTTGGATGTGTAAAACAGACCTGATGGAATAGTGAGCAAAAAGTGCCTGATTCTCTGCAGTAAAGATGCAGAGTGGAGGCGACTGAGTGGGACGCAGACATTTGCATTGTAAACGCGAGAAGTGAAGGGAGGTGATTCCCTGCTCAGTGTCTCTGGTGAAGTCAAGTGCTGCAGAGCTTTCTGGCTCTGTAGCACTTGAAATGTCAGGCAAACCTTTCAGTTCATTAGCTGTTTCCTGCATTTCCTCCCCATTAGAACAAAAAGGGGGGGGGGGAGTCCCCTCTTTATTCATAAGCACGTTTGTCAAAGTTGTAACTTTGAGGTTGTGATGAAGGAAATTCTAGCCACTTTCCACCACTGTTTTGCTGGGGCTTCATGGGCTTCATCTGGCACTCTGTGGTTTGTCTCTGAATCTTTTGGTAAGATTCCCCAGTTCCTTCCAAACCTGTAAAAGAAGCCAGCGAGTCCCTTTGGTGGAGTGAGAGCTCAGCCAGCAAAGACCTGGCTTGGGAGGCAACCTTCACGCCTCTGATGACCCATGGTGAGATCTCAACCTGAATCAGCTCAGGCAGCAGATCTGGGGTTCTCAGCGGCATCTGTTCTTGGCTGAGTGCTGCACTTGGGTTCTTTTTGCTAAAACAACTGCAATCTCTGTTCTGTTCAGAGCAGGATAGAAACCTATCAATTTGAAAGTGAAATGCTGAGGTTAAAAGAAGACTTAAGATCGTTTGATGTTAGGGAGGAATCAAGTTATTGAACTGAAACAAAGTTTTAAAAGTTAGATGAAAAATAGGATGAACACTGGAAGTTATTGCCATGTACGTGGTTTCACTAATCCATGAAATTATACCTGTCACACTAACTTAGTTTTTATTAAAACTGACTTTTGTTTTGTGTTGAACTGTTAAATTGCACAAAAGCAACAGATCTCAAGGTAATTAATACTCTGACCCTTTCCTTTTGTGAGATTAGTTTAATATTTTTAATTAATTAAAGTATGCAAATAGAAACTGCTGAAAGATCATCTCCAGGTATGCAAATATTGTAGTGCTTAGAGTAAATATTTAACTTTGATCTTTACTTTAATTTGCCTTTTTGGTTATAATGGTGGCCCTCTTGTTTCTTTTGAGGAATATTAAGTGCTTATGTGGGGATTCTCGTGTTTCATTTAGATGAGCAGAGACCCGAACTTGCTTCTGTCAGGTCAACGTGGCAAAACTGTCTGTAGACCCTGTTCATCTGTTCCTCCTTTTAGTAATACAAGGAGCTTAATTAAAGGCAGTTTATATACAAGTGAGAGTGCGGGATCAATCTCTTCCATTGCGGAGCAGAAGCTATTCGTAAACAGAATCGTGTCTACCTCAGGGGAGACAGTTTTTTTCTCTCTTGGAAGTAATTTCACTTCTGCTGACTTGCCTGTTGTTAGGCTGGTAGTAGAGAAGTGGGTAGATCAGGACTGAGCCTCTGAGCCAGGCTCATTTTCTTTGTGGAAGAGATGGCCGAGTTTACTATGGTTTTGCAACCTCTCTTGGGCTTCGTGAGGGGCCTCCAAACCTCCCACAGCTCTGGTTGGTTTGGTGAAAGTGAAAAACTCCAGCAAGTCACAGCTGCACCCGCTGAAATCTGCCTATCCGCATTGTCCTTAGCTCAGAGAGAGGTCTCTTCTCCACTGCTGTGCACTTGGGTTGCTCTTTCCTCCCCAGTGTGCAGCTCTGATAAGAACCACCAAGAGACACAGCCTGCAAGGAGAACAGTGGCTTTGGACTGTGACATGTTCTTAATCCCGGCTCCATTCCTTTTAGCCAGCGTTATCAGCTGGAGCCTTTTCAAACTTGCTTACTTTTCTAATCTTTCTCCTTCTCCCCTCTGCAATATTATTGTTATCGTGAGTTTTTCATCTCCATTTCTCACATTTCCCTACGCCAATTGAGTGCTCATTAAAATGCTTTAAATTAAGACCTTTCCTCCTTTCATGCAGAGTGCATCATGCCTTTTCTGTGCATTACTTAAGAAAAAACTTCCTTATCACAGTGTTTCAGGCAGTTTACATTATATTCTATTAAAAATCCATTTTGTCCAAGGTTGTCACAATTCATAGATTAAAGCTTTCCAGAGTGTGTTTTGTTAGGAATACATTCATAAATTCACCTCTTTAGTAGTCCTGTAAGCTTGTATTTAAAACCTCTTTTTGAGCCTGTAGTTGAACAAAAAGCATAAAAAGAAGAGATTTATTTTAAATACACACAAGTATATATGCACACATCTATTTGGATCTGTCTGGAGCTTTTCTTTGCCCTTATTGCTGCCATCTCAAAGGACTTTTCTGGTAGCTCATTGAGCGAGAAGATTGATTGTTGCCATCTGCATTTATTCTCCCTCCTACTCTTTCCTCGGGGCAGAACTCTGTGAATCTCATTTTGGTAAGGTTACTTGAAGCAGCAGTGTGTTTTGTTTCAAAAAAGACAACGTTTTCTTCTTCAAGCACAAATACTCTTGCATTATGCCTGCAGCTGGGACCCAGCGCTTCCATTCCGCAGGAAAGGATCTTGATGGATTTCTGCATTGAGTTAGGGCTGGTGGGTTTAGATAAAAATGGAATGCTTTCAGCCTTCCATGCAGAATGGCTGTTTTTGTGAAGGACTGGGGTCTTCATTGTGGTATAGGCCAACATATTGAATTAGTGCAAAAATTGCTCTTGAAGTACAAGGCCAAGTGTGGGATTCTGCCAGACACAAATCCTAAGTGTTTTCCAGAAACAGGTCTTATTTTTTTGTAAGGACCATGCAGGTTTTTTCCACTCCCTTTGCTGAAAGATGGATTGAGCCTTGCAGTTCTGTTTTGCACCTCAGAGTTCTCTGGAAGCATCTCGGGAACATGCCACAAATTAGGCTGCAGAAGGACTAGGGCAAGAGGGCTTGAAGAAATGCCCTGGGAGCATGGTCTGTGTTTGGCAAGCTGCAGTAGCTTGTAACTCAGCACTGATATCCAGAGGAATGGGATTTCAGGAACTTTGCCGTCGTGATTTAGCATTTTATAGGACTTAGAATCACTGGTGAGCAGGCGCTGAGTTTCCATGGCCCCGCAGTATGACATATTTCATGGTGCTCAGTGTCTGCTTGCTAGAAAGCTGAAGAACAAAGAGTTGATGTGACCTGGCCTTTGGCTCAGGGGAGACGAAGCAGCGCGAACACAAAACAGACCACAGAGTTGCAACTCTTCTTTGAGATTATATGAAGAGATCATTTTCCTTACTCAGGAAAACTGTCATTCAGTTGTCTTGGATCATTATCAGGTGAGGAGAGTCTGATTTTCTGACAAACCAGTACTTTAATCAGAAAGGTAAGATTTATGCTAACTAGGAAAGTTGATGACATTGATTTTACCTGCAGTGCTGAGTATAATGTTACTGGGACCAAACTGGTTCTTCTCACTGAGGGATTATTTTATCTCCATATCTATAATGCAGCTTCCATCTCTCAAGATATCCATCACTGCATAAATTAGACTTGCATGAGGGACATGCAGAATGCAAAAGTAGGCAGGGTGAAATCTTCAGAGGGATTTTTTTCAAGTGTCCTCAGAAGTATTTTTTCTATTGCCTGGAGATGTGTATATTTTTAATTGCTGCAGACCAGCTCAGATGTCTGGCATTTGACATCATCTGTCTTTAAACTTGAATCCAAAAATGAAGATGCTATAATTAATCATTCAGTTTATTTACCATTTTAAGAGGTGTTCACGGAATTAAAATAATTTAAATGACTTTATAAAATTGCAGTTGTACTGTCAGATACATAAATCCATAAATCAGAAAAAGCAGCTATTTCATGTATTTATAGGTATGCAAATAGACCCTCCTATTTTGAAATAATTCACTTCTTTTTCTGTGCTTGGGAATACCCTTTGAACCAGAAATATCACTCAAAAGGAAGATGTAAAGTTGGCTGCCAGTTAAAATATGTGCATGTATTTATTTAAAGTAAATACGTGTTATTGGAGCTGATGATCAACTGAGCAGCAATGTATCATTTGGTTTTGTTTTTAAAGCTTCGGATATGTCTCAGAAATAAGAGCTGAGGTTCTCTCC